TCTATAACTCGATAGAAACATGGAGAACATGTTTTCTATTTCTTTTAGAAAACACTGTGACGAAAAAAAGAAAAACTGCTTGTTTACTTTGATCATCAAAATGTAAATTAATTATCTTTGCTCGCGCCATCATTACATCAATAGCTTGTGCTAGTTCTGTGTTTCCATTGAGTTATAGACTGAAACACAATTTTTAACCAATCAGTGCACCTATTTTCTTAGGACTGTTTTCTAAATGATAATAATAGCATGGTAGTGGGTATATTTTTGTTGGAATGCTTATTTGTTTCTAGTAGCAGTATAATCGTTAGATCTGAGCATAAAATCTTGGCCAGCAAAATAAATGCATTCATGTACTTTGGAGTGCAGGTGATTACTGCGTGTGTTCACTGTTCATAAACAGGGTTGTGTTGGTCAATCAAACTATAGTAACTGGGGTGGGAATCAAATGCCAACAGCAGACTGAAATTTTAAGATAGATCACAGGACATTTGGTAGCATAATTGTGGTGTTGCTCGACTCAAGATTCCAATATTGCAAGGTCAAGATTCCAACCTGTCTGTGTCCTTATGTTTTGTTTTTGCACACTTGATAGTTTAATCATCGATTTGCTAGTATCATATTCTACCAAGCCTGTAAAAACTGGCTGTACTAGTAAAATGTTAGGATGACATGTGGACAGGGTGCTTAGTTTAACCCATAACCTGTAACACCTGTCACAGGTGTCACTAGTAAGTGTTACGGCAGCACTGTAAAAATTTTTTTGATCAGCAGAACAGTCCGTCTATCAAATGCAAATAAAAGAACAAATTTAGGAGCAAATGAAGAGATAACGAAAATGTACAGAAAAGATGTTTTGAGAAAGTGAGAAAATATTGCCTGAAAATGAAGGAGAATACATTTCTGAGCATCTTAATTCAAAAATGTATTGAGAGAGCATGCTCCCAGACCCCCCTACAGGTTGGGGCCTCCATGGGCCTAAGCTAGGGCCTTCAGCCTGTTACGCCTGTAAATTGCAATGCAACAGATGGTCAACATTCTCTTGAGAACCCTGTGTACACCTTTTGGCTGAACTGAACAATGATTGTACATGGTCATCATGAGGTTTCAATAAAGGTGAAGTGTATGAATCTTCCGACCCATACATGTAGTTTGGACAAAAAAAAAACCTATCTGCTGCAGAGAGGGAAGTGGCTGTTAGCTACATTGTAGAAGAGGTTTGACGGTAGAAACTGCCACATTTCAGAAGCAAGTCAGAGTTATGAGTTCCATCAATGATGTGCTCCAAGACTTAATGAGACTTCTGTTACCTTCAGTTACTTAAAACATTTTTGACTTGCTTAAGCTTTAAAACCTGCTGGAATGAGAAACTGGGAAATAAGTTTTAATTTCTCCTTACCTT